CAAATAATTTCAAAGTGCAATTAAAAAAAAAAAAAGTTCTACAAAATGGTGATATTCATCGACTTGTACTCATCAAATCAAACTTCATGTGATTATTCCACCATATCCGCATGCTCCCCCTAGAATGGATCAACTCACTGTATGAGTTTGACCACCAGATCAGTAATGTTCAAACAGCGCATATGAACCACTTTTCCTCGGTTTACTTTACAAGGCTTTCAACCAGTCGGTTTACTTTCCAGGGCTCTCAACCACTTGGTTTACTTTCCAAGGCTCTCAACCACTTGGTTTACTTGCCAAGGCTCTCAACCACTTGGTTTACTTGCCAAGGCTCTCAACCACTTGGTTTACCCCCCAAGCCTCTCAACCACTTGGTTTACTTGCCAAGCCTCTCAACCACTTGGTTCACTTTCCAAGGCTCTCAACCACCCGGCTTACTTTCCAAGGCTCTCAAGCACTTGGTTTACTTGCCAAGCCTCTCAATTACCTGGTTTACTTTCCAAGGCTTTCAGCCCCCCCGCCCCCACCTCTTCCAGTACTCTTATTATAAATGGCAAAATCCCATAAAAAGACAAGATAGCATAGTGAAGTACTTCAAGCCATTTATTCCAATAAAATACACTGCCTGGTCAAAAAAATAGTCACCACCTGGATTGAGCTAAGCAAATAGGGAAGAGCTACAGGTATTGCTTCAGTTGGTCAGGTCCAGGTTTTTGGCCAGGCAGTGTATTGAAAAAACACTCACACGTACATTTGTGCTACACAGCACCAGTTCATGCGCATGAATATAAACTGCCAGCTAGAAATCTCTCCTCCATGTTACCCTGGCACTTCCTGTTCGCGTGATGATCTCAGATGACCCCCTCCCTCCCTAAGATCTAAGCTTCCTGAAGAACGTTTGACACTTCAAGGGGCTTTGGAGTTAGGTGCCCACTGCTGCCTTCTGTGGTTTCCTCCACTGGACCTTATGTTACTGCATGCCCCACTTGTTGCAGGGGTAGGCAACCTTTAGCTGTGGTGAATACCACAAATACCATTATAAATCTGCCCCTGGGAGTCATGTCTGTCAGAGTCTTGCAATAGCTCATGAGAGTTGTAGTTCCACAACAGCTGCATGCCAAGGTTGCCTACCCCTGCATTAGTGACATACTGTCCAGCAGAAGGAAGTATACAGCACTGTAGGGCGGCAGGTATCCAACACACCTGGAAGTGTGCCAGATGCTGAAGATCTTACAGCAACAATAGATGTCACAAGAACAGAATAGAATAGATGCACAAGATGCACATCAGCATGGAAAGCAGGACAGGTAAGTATTAAATTATTGCTTTTTTTAGGGATGACTTTTTTTTAAATGTAGAGACAGAGCCATCTTAAATGATAAGTGCATTATTAGACAAAATAAATGCAACTGAGGAGCCCGCGGAGGCTTTACTCCTCGAAACCAGACAGGGTCACTTGCTCACAATTTAAGCTTATAGTAATGATCTTCATTGCATTGAAGCAGGACACTGCTCAATGGTGGCAATCCACCACCTTGAATACATACAAGGTTATTTCTAAGGTCTTGTGGATGATAAGCAGTGACAAGGAGACGAGGAGACTGAGACCTTGGATGATAAGATGGTTGATTTTAAAAAAGTGTGGTCCTTATGGGCAGGGGTGTCCCTACTAATTTATCTGCCTGAGGTGGGGGGTGGATCGGTGTGTGCTGGTGCTGCACGTTACGGGGGGGCTTGATTGGTTGTATTGGTGGCGCACGTTACCTGCAAGGTGCCTCTGTTTGGCGTTGCTCTCAGCTCACTGACATTACCAATTGCCAGGAGCTGGTTGGGACACCACTTAGCTCCTGGCAACTAGTGGTGTCAGTGAGCTGGGCGGGACACCGCCCAGAGAGTCACAGGTAGCTAAGAGCTCTTAGCAATCTGGGATGCTCTGGCTGTAACGTGAGCAACAGGCACACCTGCTGCCTCTACCCCCCCACGTGACCCATTAAGATGCTGCATAAGACAACCAGCTCAGGCTGCCTCATTATAAGGAAGGCCCTGCTCATGGGTCCGACAATACCTTCCTCTGAATTGTGATTGTTGCCTACTTGACCAGTAAAAGCCTCTATAGGGTGTTCTCCCAGCCGCCACCTCCCGCCCCTTCCCTCCCTACATTTGCCCTATTTGATAATGTTGCATTCAGGGGCATAACTAGAAATCACAGGGCTCCATAGCAAACTTTTGTAGGTGCCCCTTCCTCCCCAACCGTCCAAAAAAGAAGGACCCACCTCCAGAACACGTTCCCGCTCACTGCTGCAGAGCCCACCATAAACCCGCACAGCCCACCAGAGGCCCTGCGGAGCCCACCTGAGACCCCGCAAAGCCCACTTGAGACCCTGCACAGCCCACCTGACACCCTGCACATACCAGAGACCCTGCACATACCATAGACTCCGCACAGCCCACTTGAGACCCCGCACAGTCCACCTGACACATTGCAGAGCCAACCTGAGACCCCCCATAGCCCACCTGAGATCCCACACAGCCCACCTGCGAGCGACCCTGCAGAGCCCACCATAGGCTCCCTATGGTGGGCTGGTCACACTCCTGCACAACTCTTACCTGTCAGCCCCGATCCGCTGTCAGCCTTCTCCAACACCGGACCCAGCCTTCTCCACCACAGCTCTCCAGCCCTTCAGAGAACAAACTGCCTCCTGCTACAGCCAAATATTTCAAATTTTGACTCATTAGTCCAGGGCACCTGCTGAAATTTTTCTGCGGGCTTGCGGCCAAAAAGCCATACGTACGATGTGGAAACAAGGCTAAGCGACTCAACTATGAGCGAAAACATAGGAACTGGGGTGCAGAAAAATGGCAGCAGGTGCTCTGGCCTGATGAATCATAATTTTAAATATTTGTCTGTTGCAGAAGGCAGTTTGTTTGCCGAAGGGCTGGAGAGCTGTACAAAATTAGTGTCTGCAGCAACAGTGAAGCATGGTGGAGGTTCCTTGCAAGTCTGGGGCTGCATTTCTGCCAATGGAGTGTGATTGGCCCCAAATTTATTCCGCACCAGGACAACCACCCCAAACATACAGCCAATATAATTAAAGGAGAACTATGGGGTCAGTGTTTTTCCCCATAGTTCTCCTTAGGGTAACGGGAGGACACAAAATAGCGTCCTCCCGTTACCCTAAGCTCAGTATACCGCGAGCTACAGCTCGCGGTATACTGAGACGCCGAGTTCTCCTTTAAGAACTATCTTCAGCTTAAAGAAGAACAAGGAGTCCTGGAAGTGATGGTTTGGCCCTGATCTCAACATTATCAAGTCTATCTGGGATTACATGAAGAGACAGAATGATTTGAGGCAGCCTACATCCGCAGAACATCTGTGGTTAGTTCTCCAAACTATTTGGAACAACCTACCTACCGAGTTCCTTCAAACTGTGTGCAAGTGTACCTAGAAAGCGGCAAAAGGTGGTTACACCAAATATTGATTTCATTTGGATTTCTCTTTTGTTCATTTACTTTACATTTTGTTAATTGATAAAAATAAACTATTAACACTTTTATTTATGAAAGCATTCTTACTTCACAGCATTTTGTCACACCTGCCTAAAACCTTTGCACAGTACTGTACAAGCATACTTATTTCTCACCCCCAAAAAGTTGCATTAGTAGATTTCACCTATGGTCAGCGAATGTAGTAACATTATCCAGTGGCTATGCATGTGCTGCTAAATTCCAGCTACCGTATATACTCGAGTATAAGCCGTCCCGAATATAAGCCTAATTTTACAAAAAAAACTGGGAAAAAGTATTGACCCGAATATAAGCCGAGGGTGGGAAATGAGGCAGCTACTGGTAGATAGATACCAATAAAATTACATTAATATTTATTTAAAAGAAAAATAACCTAGCTCTGTAAGTGGAAAAGGGGGTACAGGGCTACATACAGATCATTTAATCCATTCATGTTAGTATAATTGTAAATGTATTGTTGCAGGCACTCTATATGTACATGTACTATATACTACATATAGAGTGCACTGAACAATAGATTTACAATTATCCTCTGCTAATATGAATGGGTTAAATGATCCGTAGTACATGATATGTAGCCCTGTACTATGGATCATTTAACCCATTCATGTTAGCAGAGGATCATTGTAAATGTATTGTTGCAGGCACTCTATATGTACATGTACTATATACTACATATAGAGTGCACTGAACAATAGATTTACAATTATCCTCTGCTAATATGAATGGGTTAAATGATCCGTAGTACATGATATGTAGCCCTGTACTATGGATCATTTAACCCATTCATGTTAGCAGAGGATCATTGTAAATGTATTGTTGCAGGCACTCTATATGTACATGTACTATATACTACATATAGAGTGCACTGAACAATAGATTTACAATTATCCTCTGCTAATATGAATGGGTTAAATGATCCGTAGTACATGATATGTAGCCCTG